ATTGTAATTATAAGAAACGAGTTGTTTGTTGTACATAAAATATTTATGTATTTATTAATTTGAAACAACATAATTCGATGGCAGTTCACCCTGAAGGATTTGCAGCATAAAGTTAACCGCCTTTCACACAACACTTAGAATTATCCAAAACTAAGTCATGCTACGTGTCCCAGACATCGTCTATCTTTACAAACATGACTTCTCAGTCATTGGACGAGTATACAGGGGATGAATATACAGATGTTGTGAATTAGTGATTGCAACAATAGACTGCGTGACGTAATCTGTGTGACGTTTTCCCGAGGTTCTTAACCCAGAATGTGAGTGTCCAGACCACAGGGCGACTCCAAATCTGGTGCTTGATCCCCAGTCATGATTTTTTTCGAGTAATTTAATGTATCATGCAAGTAATATAGCAAACAATTCAGCGAGAAATGACGTAGCTGCAAGATGGTAAGTTTAAAATAAATGTTATAACAAACAATACGTGTACGTTTTGTGTGTTTGTTTCAAAATTGTATAATTGCCTCAATTGAGAAAAACCTGCATATTTTGTTGTGAAAAGGCATTAGCTTGCTTATTCTCAGTGGTTTTGTAAACACACTTTCTTATGTGACGGGCGCCATCTTTGCATGATTAGGAGATGTTGTATGTGTGTACAAAATTGTATAAAATGTTTGTTGTGAACAATTTCGTTAAAACTTTAAAATTAATTAAGTGTTAACGCTGTGGACAATACTTAATAAACTAAATCAGTGTAAACTGTTATCATCAAATTTTGCGCGTTAACAAATTCTATTAACATCCAAAAATCACTGTATTGCACTGAAGATCCGATACAATCATTTTAAAATTACTTACTCAAGATACGATAAGTATATTATCTCGGTACGGCACGTTTAGCCAGAGAAACCGACACAGGAGTGGTGGGAAAATAAGCGATTTCCAGCTCTAATAAACTGTCACCACTCGTCATAAAGCCGTGTCGAGACAGTTTATAATGAAGTTTGATGAAGTTTGCCAATAACAAAAGGCATATTATATATCTCGGCCTCCGTCGACTGAATCAATGTTAATGTTTCGAGGTTACAGCAGACAAGGGTCTAACGATTTAAGTATGGCTTGTATGATTTAGCGGAGATGTCAAGACAAAATATGCATGTTGCTTAGAATTCTGAAAAATTCCAAAATGCTGCTACGAGTTTTTTTTTACGGTGTCGGGGTAAAGCAGAAATTTCTAAAATGAGGAAACACAACTCACATAAGCATTTTGTAATCGGCAAAATTCATTTAATTCACTTTTTTCACAATTTACTGACGTGAAAATTATCCGCAAATCACATCCTTTTAAAAATTTCAATGTTTTAAATAAATGTCTTATAATTCTCGGTTAATCGGTACTTTCCGTCAAAACTCGCTATCAGTTACAAACACTTAGCAAAGATGCCTTCGACCCACGGTCAATTCAAACAACCAATATGGTTTACATCATACCGGGTAAACACCATAATAACCAGTTTCCACTAAATTCCCAAACAAAGGTTCCCGAAAGTCAATGAATATAAGGTAATAAAAAACCATGTGAGTCACTTGTTATGAACATGCGTCTTCGTTTCGGAAGAACTGGGAACACTTACGCGTAGGGATACAAGATTCGATCCAAATTAATACACATTAGTTCAATACAGATAGTGCAGCCTTATTCTTCCCATTCCTCCCCTTTCTCTCCCTCCTTTTCCAGCTTTATTCACCTATTTCATTCCTTCTCTCCCTCTCCCCACAAAAGGATACAGACTCCCTTAAAACCTCTTTTTCATAATAGTCAATTAATGTGTTTTTTTAGAATAGTTCCCATACGTTGGGTGGGCCCACGTACGTATTACTCCATAATCGAAAACATTTGTTCATAATCGACAGAATTATATGAAACTGGATATTGAACGGAAAAAAATACATCTGCTGTTCAATCAAATAGGAAATGCAAATTACCATGTTTGATCCAATCGCGGAATAAATCGTCATGGAAATATATCCTAACATGTGTAAAGTATTATCAAAATAGAAAATAAAAGATCGCTGGTAGTCGGCCATTTTAAATCGATCCGCTAAACCATTGATTGTAATTGACACATGCAGCAAATAATTAATGTTTTTAATTCAGAGGGTTCTGAAATACGACGCCGGTTGGATGGCCGGACATACGAAGGGAGACAGAATTACAAGCCACCTTTTTCGAACTTCGTTGGAAGAGCACTTACAATTACTGTCGAGTCATAGTGTTATAGTGTGTATATCGGTATACAGATTAACCAGGGAGGGTTCATTGCAAAAATGAAGCTAGCTAGTTGAAAATACGATACATGCCATAATTTGTGTTTACAATTTTTTCATCAAAGCTACACCAAAACTCTGTTGATCATCACTCCACTTTTTTTCAACAGAAAATCGAGTTTTTTTCATAATATCTTCAAACTGTTCCCAGTTCCATTTTATGCTTAGGCTGTCTGGCTCGTGACCATAAATCACCTCCCCTTCTTTGAAATGTATCTTCAAATCCAAATTACCTATATACGGGAAATAAGTTAATATATACAAAGTAATTTGCATGTACATTGCAGGTCTGATGTGTTATAGAAGTAATACACAGTTTCTTAGAGCTATTTTGTTATTCACATGCATAATCATGCATGTCTTTTCGAAACATTACTTCTATCAATATTTTTTGAGCATCAGTTAGCATTCCCATAATCATGTCTATTCTCTAATTATCAGATCAGATAAATGACATGACAACAAAATTCATAGAATCCTGGTCCAAAGTTGTTCTTAAAACTTCTTATAATCACATAAACTAGCTATGAATACTTAAACAGTGCAAGCATATTACTTGGACATTTAAGATTGGTGTATTTTGGTGCTGAATAAATTTATGAAACGTGTTATCTGAAAACATAAATCATAT